ATAATTTTCCTAGTCCATAGCCTTGACCATGTCACCCCTCTCATTGAAACCCTCCACTGACTCCCCCTTCTTTACTGCATCAAACATATGCTGCTTGTATTTATTTTTAAGGCCCTTCATAGTCAATCCCCAGCCTACCTATTGTCTTTCATTCCTATCAAACTGTTAATATTCGCCTGCGACTGACCCATGATGCCAGCCTCTAATGCCAGTTTTGTGCAGGAAAAAAACTTGGTCCTTTATATTTTAGGTCATGGGGATGTTATTTTAATGGAACATGTTTTCCTTTCCATGACCATGCTGAATGTTTTTTAAAAAGGGAAGTTAAGTTTCCAGCCAGTAGGGGTGGTTTGAAGACACTGGCAGCTGGATAGCATCTTGGATGGAGATGAAATGGTTAACCTGGACCTTTAAATATTAGGCTTGGAATAATTAGATTTCAATCTTTAAATCTCAGTAATACTAGATTTTTCCTTTCATCCAAAAAAACTATCAAAATGTTTTCATCATTAATAAGCAAATGTATAGAAAGGGCATTTTTAATACACAAAAAAACCTTTTTGTCTAACATAATTACATGCATGTGTGAATGCACACCACCGGATCTTGTAAAAAATTTAGTATTTCTTTATACTCAAAGAAATATTGAGAATATAGTAAATATGATTATCAAATATTGTGATATTTCTAAATCTTCTCTAAAGCTTACTCTTTACATATATTTTGAATTAAGTCAAGCGCTGAGGATTATTTATTTCCTATTAATGCAAACATTTAAATTAATTTAAAAAATTAAAAATACTGGATTATATATTGCTGTTTTCTCTGATTCATGAAATATAAAAATCAAATATTTCCAAGCCTAGTCATTGGCCAGATTCTCCTGTAGGATTAACACATTCAATTCAAACACAATCAATTTTAATGACTTATTTCTGTCAAGTGGGAGACAAGAAGTGCACTTTATATAAATAAAGAATACATGATGGCTAATCTCTGCTATGACATTTATCTTCATGAATGTGGAGAAGAGTTATAACTCAAGTATGGCATCACCATTAGTGGATTATCCCATAAGTGAAGACAGATGTGATAAAAGATCTGCCATTCACAGGGGTGAAAGTAACTCCAAACACTTATCGGTACGGGGCTGGCTTTGGGCCCTTGGGCAGAAGGGGTGGAGCGGGGGGGCGGGCGGTCAGCATCCCCCAGCCAGCCCTTCCAGGCTGCGTGGCCCATGCCGTCCAGGGCTCCAGTAGCAATTTAAAGAGCCTGGGGCTCCAGAGAGCCCCGGGCCCTTTAAAATTGCCGGCTCCGGGGCAGCTGCTCCCTTTGCCCCCCTGCCCGTCGATGGCCGAGGGGGAGCAAAAGGGGTATGGACATTAAAGCACTGTAGGGTCCTTTGCCGCGGCACTGCTTTATTGTTGCTGCACCCCGCCCCACTATCGGTGGTCCTGCTGGTAGGGCCGCCGATGGGGAGGAGCAGCAACGTTAAAAGCACTGCCGCGGCAAAGGACCGTCCTTAAAGCGCTTTAACGACAGTGCTTTAACGTCCCTGCCCCTTTTGCTTCCCTTGTCGGCGGCCCTGCCAGTATGGACCCTTCCAGCAGGGCCACCGATGGGGGAGGCAAAAGGGGCAGGGACATTAAAGCGCTGCAGCGGCAGCGCTTTAATATGGGCTGCGTATGGGCCGGTACGGGTTCTTACCGGTACGTCGTACCAGCTCACTTTCACCCCTGGCCATTCATGAATGCTTTATCTACGGTAGGTACAGTATGTTTAGTGGAATTTGCATAAAGAAGTTTGTCAGAGATCGCGATCGACTGGAAGATCCACTAGGATCGACCAGTCGATCACAATCAACTGGTTGATGACCACTGCAGTACAGTATTTGCTGCCTTTCCCCCCCACTCCCCTCTTTTTGGTGTCCACTTACTTCCAGTTCCACATGGTGTCTGGTTGATCAGTAAGGCCGTAACGCTGATGCTCATATCTTTGAGGTTCTGTTGTACCTCATAAGGGGGTTGTGAGTATCAGTTAGGGTATTGAACATAAGTGCTATAAAATCCTAAAAACACTGGAGGGAAAAAGAAAATAAGTCCTGGGTGTCTCATGCAGCGCGAGCACCCAATCATGTTGGCACCGAAAGTAGTGACACTTGTACAAATTCTGGCCTTCATATCTATTTTCTCATAGGTAAGATGAGGGTAAAAATACTTTTCTGTCTCCTAGAGTTGTGAAAATAGATCCCTGCCTTTGCCACGGACTTACTATGTGATATCAAGCAAGTCACTTAAACCCAATTTTTGGCAGGTGGTCACTAATTGTGTGTTTCTCATTTTCTGGGTGCTCAATTTAAAACACTTGGGGCCTCGTTTTCAAAAGTGCAGCTGAACACTCAACTCCACCTGAAGTCAGTGGGAGCTGTAAATACTCAGTACCTTCCTCAGTAAAGCAGTGTGGTCAAGGTTGGGAGTCCAGGGGTCCTAAATTCTAATCCTGGATCTGACCCTGATTTACTATGTTCTTTGTGTCAGTTTCCCCTTCTGTAAAATGGAAATAATACTCTTATACCAAGGGAGTTTAGGAGAAAAATGCATTAATTTTTGTAAGGCACTTGGATGCCATGGCAATGTACCCCATAAAAAAAGACCATGAAAAAATGAATAATTCTGTCTTCAGTGCAGGGTTTGGATGGTGTGCAGAAAATAAGGCTGAAGATCACAAAGTGAATTATGAAGATAAAAAGAAATACTGAATTAGCTGCCTTGATCACCGAACACAGTCCATCCTGCGTATTGAATGAGATGGAAAAAATAGTATGTGATCATCTAATTAAAAAGTATGTGACAATCCACATTCTAAGGGACCCGAATTTAAATTGCCCATTCTACCTTAATTCTAGCCTTTCCTAACTTTCAAGCGCTTGACTTTGCAACCTTAAATAACTTCTTTAATGTATTTTTTGGTATGTAATGATACATAGGTTTAAAGTTGAACCATCACATGATTGATGGATATTTTGGGGGGAGCAGTTATATAAAACTATAGGTGTGGCGCTAAACACTTAGAATAATAATGGTAGTCCTCTTCAGTAAAGTGATCAGTAAAATTTAGTTTGTCATATAAAACACTCAGAGAAATGGCACTAACAAATTAAAATGTCCAAAACAAAATATATAAAATATTCATGGGAATCAAGTGAAATACAAGGTGAAATCTACTGAACACCCTAGCCCCACCCCTTCCCCAAGGTCCCGTCCCCTGCCCCACACCTTCCCTGACGCCCCACCCCCCGCTCACTACATTCCCCCTTCCTCAGTGACTTGCTCTCCCCCACCAGCTGGGGGTGCGGACTCTGGGGTGGGGATCCGGGCTAGAGGGTGGGGCCAAGGGATTTGGAATGTGGGAGAGGGCTGCAGGTTGAGGCAGGGGGTTGGGATGTGAGCAGGGGTATGGGCTCTGGGCTGGGGATGAGGGGTTTGGGTGCAGGAGGGGGCTCTGGGTTTGGGGGGCTCAGGACTAGGGCAGGGGTGGGGGCTCAGGGTTGGGGCATGTGCTTACCTCTGGCAGCTCCCAGTCAGCGGCACAGCGGGGCTAAGGCAAGCTCCCTGCCTGTCCTAGCTCCGCACTGTGTCCTGGAAGCGGCCTGCAGGCCCAGCTTCTAGCTGGCAGGGAGGAGGGGCCAGGAGGCTCCGCGTGCTGCTCTCGCCCGCAGGCACCACGCCCCCCAGCTCCCACTGGCCACAGTTCCCGACCAGTAGGAGTGCAGAGCCGGTGCTCGGGAGGGGGGCAGCGCACAGAGCCCCGTGGACCCCCCACCTAGGAGCCGAACCTGCTGCTGGCTGATTCCAGGGTGCAGCGCGATGCCAGGATAGGTAGGGACTAGCCTGCCTTAGACCCTCAGCATCACCAACCAGACTTTTAACAGCCCGGTCGGCGGTGCTGACTGGAGCCACCAAGGTCCCTTTTTGATGGGGCATTCTGGTCGAAAACTGGACACCTGGCAACCCTATCCAGTTTTTGCGGGCATTAGACCTTGTTTTTCATTTCAGTACAACCTGAAGAAAAGCTCTGTGTAGCTCGAAAGCTTGTCTCTTTTACCAGCAGAAGTTGGTCCAAAAAAAGATATTATCTCACCCGCTTTGCCTAAAAGTGGTTGTACTTAGCTAGATATGATGTTAGGAGCCTAAACTGGAGGGGCTGTATATTTCCAAGACATAAGTCTACAATTATATTTCACTAAAGAAATCCTAGATTATAATCACACTATTTTTCACCGTTTAACAATGCATATACCAGTTGCATTCATTTTGTTTAAGGAAACAACTTACTCTTTTGTAAATAAGCAATGGTCCCTACAGCTAAGCTACTCCTTTATGCAAGAGCTCTCTTCCAACAGTCTTCTACTACAAATCCCGTTTAAAACAAAAAGTTGTCTGACATTTTCACTCCTACATTAGACACTTTGCAAAATAAAAATGTAGGCTTTCCTCTACCCATCCTTTGCTTCAGGAAGCAAAGTAAGAGAGCCCCAGTGACGCACATTTTCACTCTTCTTCTAGCATCACCCCCAGCCGGGCAATATTTGATGGGTTGGGTCGGGTCATACTCTATTTTTCATTAGCAGGACTCCGGGTTCATAATGGTGAAACTTTAGTGAATAGCATGTGGCGGGGTAAGAAGAGAAGTGGGTCCCTGTCTCCCCTTGGGTGTTCACCAGGCCCAAAGGGCATAGGCAGGTGGGATACAGTCTGGGCTGGGGGACTCAAAGAAGAGCTGGAGCAGCACCCCCAGTTGCAGCACCTTTGTTCCCTCCCTCCCCCTCCTCTCTCAAGCTGGTGTGGGGGCAGGGAAGGACACCCCTCCCCCCCGGGAAGCCAAGCTGGGGGGTGGGGGGGGAGGAAGAGCCCAGGGCGTTTTGCAGCTCGCTCCCCACCCGGAGCGCTCTGCTCCCACGCCGGCCCGGCCACCCCATCCCGGCAGCAGCCCCGACCCACCTGAGGGTCTCGTCATCGTCCCCCTGCTGGGCGCGGCCCGTTGCCTCCCTCTCCGCGGGGCAGGTGGAGCCCGGGGGCGAGCGCAGCCGGCAGGGTCGCTCCGGCCCGAGCAGCAGAGACGCCCCCTCCCTAGCCACCGCCACCGCGGAGCCTCCAGCTGCTGCCGCCAGGTCCGGAAGCGCCGACCTGCCGCTGCAGCCCCCGCCCGCCCCCACGCGCGGGTCCCGCTCCTTCCTCTGGGGGAACTTCGGCTCCTGCTCTCGCTGCAGAAGTGAAACTCTCCCCCTCCCCCCCGCCAGGACACGGGCCCTGCTTCCTCCTGTCGAGCTGAGGAGACGGCGCCCTTCCGAGGGCCATGCGCCCCCAAGCCGTGGCGCCCCGCTCTCCTTCCCTGCCGGGGGCAAGGGGAGAGGGAGAGGGTGAGGCCGGGGTGGGGTGTGGTCCGGCGCACGCTGGCCTCCTTTTAAAACAAAGGCGAGTTCCTTTTAGAATCACCTTCATCCACCCAACTGCTCTGCAGCCTGGCCGCCCCCGGCCAAAGGGATGCTGCACCCGCTTTGCAACGGGTCCTGCTTTCCATCACACCCCAGGACTCCCATTCAGCTTAAGGGGTAGCTTGTGGCACGCAGGGAACCAACAGGGGGCCATAGGAGGGTGTAGACCAGATTCAAACGGTTGTGGCAGTCTGCTGCAGGGTGGGAAGGGGGAGGGAGAATACCTGGATGAACGTGTCGCTCCCCTCGGGAAGAGCCCCTTAACTGCAACAACGTTCATTAGCTCTGGCCTTCAGAAAAAAGAAATTTCTAGATCTGCAGCTGTTTTGGGTCGATTTTTAAAGGGGCCCAAATTTCATGAATCCAAGGAATCCAGCCTGTTACATTATTTAAAGAACACACCGAATGAAGAGAACTTTGGAAATGTGCCTCCTCATACAGAGATCTTTATCGTAGCAATACAGTTTTAATGCCCTGCTTGGAAAGTGTTCAAAATCACAATGATTTAACTTCCCCACCCTATTATGCTTTATATTAATTATTGACATGGCAGAGAAAAAAATGTGAAAAATGTTGGCAATATCAGACTGTAAGGGCAGTAGGGTTTGCCATTTCTCCTTAAGTGCACCATCCGTGAAAAACGGTTTAGGGCTCAATCCAACTCCCATCGATCAAGAGGGCATTTTCCACTAATTTCAATAGGCATTGGATCAGGTCTGAACCTTATCAAAATAAAGGCCAAACCCCCATTTAAATCAGTAGGAGCAGGACTGGGACCTAAACTGGAACCATTGGAAAGCTTCATAGATAATGGTCAATTGATAGCATTGGGGGGGGAGGGCGGGGAAGTGTCAGTAAAAAGCATTTTTAAGTGTTCTCTGCATGCTATAAAGACCAAATGGAGAACTGAACCATGGGCTGTTACTGCTGTCACTGTTTGTGTAGTTGTTTTTCAAATTAATGTTTTGGTGGGAGGATGTTTTTGCTGTTGGGGGGTGTGTGTCTAATTCTGATCTTACATAGTGAAAAACCAAAACACCACCATTGAAGGCAATGGATTTACATCTATGAGATTGGGATGTGGTTCATTATTACTGTTTTCCTTTCCTTTGTGTCAGTTTTTAAATTGTTTCCATTTTCTGAAATCATAGGTATCAGGTAACACTAAATTGCAGGTGTTTAATTCTTGAACGACCATAGTCCAAAAGATCACTATTATTGCATTCTAATGGCGGTCCAAGCTAATGGCAACGATTCAGTGCATTGGGTAAATAATCTAGAGTGAGAGAAGAAATAATCAGGGAAGAGATGGAAGGAGAGGATAATATCACATAAGAGGGGAGGAACATGTCAGTGATAGAAAGTAACATAATTTGTCCAGTTTATTTTCTGTAAATAGCAGCAACATTTACTGCACCTTATAAACTAAAATATTGGACAAAATAGTTAAGACGATGGAGTAGTCCACACTATGATTGTGAGCTAAATCATGGAAAGACCACATCACAAAGAAGAAAAGCCAAATTATGTTGTTAAATAATTCAATAATGAATGAGGAAGATCAATTCAGACCTCTGTAGTCCCAGTAAGAACAACAAAATTGTATGTTGCCTCCCAGGTACCATTCACATCCAGGGAAAAAGAAGGAGTTAGCTGCAGCCGTGAGTCAAAGAGCAAAAATGAGTTGGACATCCAGAAGCCAGTCGCTCCAAGAACAAAAGAGTTGAGTTTCCTGCCTATTTCCTTTTTCAATTATATTGTCCAGTCCCATCCCACTCACCACACATGCAAACTCTTCCAGGAATCAAATTTAAAAGGTCAGTTTGACTAGTTATTTCGTACTACTAGTATTCCCTTCTAGGAACTCATACTGTGAAATTTGGTTGTTATCTGTGCCTCCAGTGCCTGTTCTCTTATGGAAGCACAACTGCAGGGAAATCTGACTGGCCTGGTGGTCAAACCTTGAGTTTATTATAAGCCCAAGAAATTTAAAGTTATGCTTAAAAGAAATTCAGAAATGTTGCATAAAAAAAACAGTTATGTCACCAACCTTAACTCTTCCCTGTGTTGATGGCATGAGGGGGAATAATGTGGAAAAATCTAGATGAAACTGATTTTTAAAGACATTAAATTAGGACCACAAATACTAAAATGTCATAATGATCATCATAGGGTTATTGCATAACATCACTACTGTGAAGAGTTAAAGTGGTTCCAGTGCCTTGACTGTCTATTTCTTACCTTAACTTGCTTGGATTTCTTCTAAGTGTAACATCAACTCTGAATTTCCTGGGTTTATTACATATCCTTGAAATATTTTTTACCCTTAGTTACTGATACATGCTCTGAACCTTAACGTCATCCTAACTTTTCCCTCCCTCCTGCCCCAATATATACTATACAGTGCCTAGACACTATTGAGATGGGTGCTTTAGAAATGTAAAATAGTTAATAAAATAATAATAATAAATATGCACTGGATTGCCTTAATTACCCATGATTTCAGTATTTACATTACTGAACATATTAAGTTTGTGTATCCTAGTAGAAGTCCAGTAAGTTCAAAACAAGATTTTCTGCTAATAGTCTGAACTTGTAGATTATTTTAAATCTACAAATGTTTCAGAAAATTCTACTCCACATTTTATTGTTTATACTACATTTCTTGTCTTGAAACCATAGCTTTCCAGGTATTATTGTTACTATGAGACAAAAGAGTGCTTTGACTGTACAAACCTAGAATAAGACAGTACCTGCCTCAAAGAGCCTTCATTGTAAAAATCACACAGATACAGTTCAGACCGATGACACAAAGTTGGAAGGACTCGGTTTGAAATTATGCAGGTTTGTTTTTTGGTTTTAGATGCATACAACAGTCACTATTAGTATGTCTACATTTATTCACACTTAGCTCATCGTGATATCAGATACCACAATATATTCTAATGCTACAACAGAAGATAAAACTGGTGTCACTGTGCGTTCAGTCTGCATGTTTGTAGTGGAAGTTAGGAGAAATAGAAATGGATTATCTATTTTTAGATTTTGTTCAGGTCTTATGTAAAAAGAGGATGGGAAGGATGGTCCAGTGATTAGGGCACTAGCTTAGAATGTGAAAAACCAGTGTTCAAGTCCCTGCTTTGCCACAAACATCTTGTATGACCTTGGGCAAGTCACTTAGCCTCCATTTCTCAGTTTCCCATCCCTAAAATAGGATAATAATACTGTACTTTCCTACCTCACAGGAGTGTTGTGAGGATAAATACATTAAAAATTGTGAGGTGCTCAGATACTATGGTAATGGAGACCATGTAAGTATCTTAAAGACAGATAGCTGACAGATGAGATACCAAAGGATTGGAGAAGCACTGATGAATTAATGTAACAGTTTTTAAAAAGGAGGAATTTGGTCTTTGTGACTATCATCTTGTTTAACACCATGCTTACTAAAATAATGGAATAAATATTAAGGGAAAAGTCTGCAAATACCAAATGTATAGTAATAGCATAAACAATAAGCAACATACGTTTATGGAAAGTAGTCCACACCAGACAAACCTATTAGCCTATTTCAGTAAAAATACAATAAAATTAGAGTATGCCAGGAATCCAACAGATATCATATAGATGAACTGCAACAAAAAAAGGTTTGCATCAGTCTTCAGTTTCATTCTTCCAACAAAGCACTATTCACTTCCTCCTTACTATAACCTGCAGAGCTCTTCTTAGTCACAACAAGTAAAGTTTCATAATAAATAGTTGCAACAGTTTTACTTCAAATATACATCCATATTAGTAAAAACAGAACCCAAAAGATAGGTAAACATTTTCTGTCCCTCAGCAGATACGACAGAAACAGAATTTTTTCCCCATTGCAGCTACCCCTCATCCATGGGCTATTAATGTTTTAGAGTTGCATGTCATTGTGACTCACCCTTTAGTAGACTTCAGATAACTATAATCCTCAAAGTGACTGAAATCTAAGCCATCAATAACAAATGAACATGAATTACAACTACAACATGAATTAACAATATGAGTAGAGCTGGGTGAAATTTTGCAGCCCAAACTTTATTGGCAAAATGCAGATTTGGCAACCCCAAAATGTTTCTTGAATTAAAGGTTGGTTTCACTGAATTGTTTGTGTGGAAAAAACAAAAAAGTCATAATATTTCATTTTGAAATAAAATATTTATATTTATTAGTTCAAAATTACACTTTATTTAGAAATTTCTTTAATTTTTTTAAATTAAGTGTTAAACATGCTCAAAATAGAAAACACATTTTGGGTCCAAAAAAAAAAAAAAAAAGGTTTTGTTTGATCCAAAACAATTTTTCAACTTGCCAGTTGTCTGAACATTTTGAAAAACTTGTTATTGGGTTTGACCTGAAACAATTTTTTGATTTTTCTGGAATTGCCAATGGACTGAAAAATCCACTATTTGCACAGCTCTAATTGTGAGTAATATAGTACTACTAGGTAAATACAGAAACACAGTTGTCACTATTAAAAAGACAGTTAGTGCAGTATGGAATGTGATATAGCAAAGTATTTCCATATGCTCAGAAAAGTTAATATCTTTTGTAGTTCAGATGCTGACACAGTAAATATTGGTAA